CAAAGAAAAAAAATTAAGAAAAAATACACTTTAATTAAAGGGAACTATATTCGAAAAGTGGGGTCATTAATTGTGGTCTTGGGCCGTATGGCAGACGACACTAACTATTTTCCCGCCAACAAGCATAAGAAGAGTATACAATCCCGTAAAATAAGATAAAACAGGCTAAATTATGTTCTTCATTTCCGGTAACAAGAAAACCCAAATAGAGGTATATAACACTTATTAAGATTGAATGGTAGATTTATAGAAATCCTTTTTAAATGATCAATGCGTGCAATCGAAAATATGGACATTGTGACAATTTTAATCAAATCATCTACATGTATAGTGTCTACTTTAAAATGAAAAAGACCTACTTGTAAAAAAATCTTTTTGGTTCTCATTTTAATATAGTCATATGCATTGAATAATGTTAAATTATATTAGACCGCACTAATCTTATTTTAGATGAACCATCTATTTAATTTTACAGTTTACAGTAGTTAATGAAATTGATAAATAACTTAACCATTAACATGAGTAAGGTGTTGACCTTGTATATACATTTAAGTCCTTATGTAAAATGTTAAGATAATTCAGTCACCAGTTGTGCTTTATACAGAAAAATAAAGAAGGGTGCCCAGCTGAAATATGTAAGTATATAATTTTATCCTTTTTGTTAATGAAATTATATGGATTATTAATATGTTTTAATTTTGCAGCGTTCCATATTTTTTCAATACACGATAGTCGACTATCGTCACCAATCACCCAAATAGACCAATATCGAGCTGTTTTTTTTTTATGAATGGGCTACATTGATTGACCCGAGGTCAATTGGCACAAATGACGTCCTTTAACAATCCGTCCTTACTGAGATGTAATACATAACCATTATGACACAGGAAATGCATGGAAAAAAGCACGAATCTGAGTCGTAAATAGCCAAAGTCGAAGAAATAATTTGAAAAGGAACAATAGTCCTTACGATAAAAAATTAGACAGAAGGCAAAAAAATGCCGAAATAAGTGAGAAACCCACACAATCACATCAATGATTCAATTTTGACGCAAGGTCCAAGACTATAGATATGATTAGGAAATTCATAATAGTCCTGAACAGTCAGAGAAAAGGCCAATGCCAGTCAAAATAAGTGGAAAATACACCATAGTCCTAAGTAGGAAATACATAACAGTCCTCATCAATTAGCAAAAGGCCCAATACTGTGGAAATAAGTGGGAACTATACACAAAAGTCTTCGAAAATCAGACAAAGAAAAACTTAGCACCAAGACTGTCTAAAGAATGAATAGGGAATACTGAATACCAACTTAAGTTTGCCGATTATAAACATTGAACATCTTGAATTAGCAGAACATCCATCAATTTCCGAAAATTCAGACGTTACGTTTTGTAGTTCAACATATGGTACCTGCATCAATAGCTGAAAGAATGCCTTAAGACACGTAAAATTGTTCAAAGTTTTATCATCAATTTGCTGATTTACACTGTTTTTGTGTATCATTTATCTTCAAAACAGTAGGTCATTAAATAAATGTTCGCTGTATAACGGTTTAACTCTGTTTTATGGCGGGGTTTGTGGTTTATGCAAATTAACTGTTCAACAACGTAATAAAATCAACAATTTTTTATCATTGAAAAGTAGAGGGGAAGTTTGTTTCGACACAAATACACTGTTTCTAATAATAAAAGGAGATGTGGGTTATTCGTTAATAAGACAGCAACCCAACGAAACAAACAATCAGAAATATTGAGTTCAACAACACCACAGTTCGTCAAGCTGTAAATCGACCCGTGGCTAAGACAGTTGACTAACACACTTTTATGATCTACAAGAAACACTAAATGTACATGGTTTTTTTTCAGAATGAAAAGACAAAAGAAAGAACACATTGTTGCTAGAAAAAACAACAAGACCAAAATGAATAGAATAGATGGCGGTATTGGTTGGGTTATCGTTGCTTCTGCTTTTATGACACTTATGCTGGTTGATGGAGTGCTATTTACACTTGGGATTGTATATATAGAATTTCTAGGTGAATTTAAGGAAGGAAAAGGAAAAACTGTTTGGATAACCTCTCTTATTCCTGGAACTATACTAACAGTTGGTATGATTTTCTAAGCATGTTTATATCACTATGTATCTTTTTAACGCATTCCTGTAAAAACAGACAAGTTGATTATCATTATAATTTGAGAGCATTGTGTGGAGTCGTGACTTTATCAACCATGACACCTATTTTTTGAGGTAGTTCATTATGAAACGAGTGACCATCTTTTCAAAACGAAAATCGACGAGAAATGGTTGACAGGTCACGCCTACCCCTCATTCATAATAACACAACGAGCATTGATCTTTATTTTATGCACGAGTGACTTCAACTTGAAGTTCTCATTTGATCCTCAAAACGAATTCGACATTCAATAACTGTTTTAATATCATTTACACTGAATGCACTATTTTTATTTGGAGTTTGTAGGCATTTTAATAAAAAAGAATGTATATAATTTTGATACCGAGTTGCGTATGTTTGGTGAACATTTTTAGAGCTTTCCAATGTTTCTCGCAAAAACCAGCATCCTTCGTGTTACATTTTGAGCCGTGTGCTAACAGTGTATTAAGTTTTGTAAACATGTTAAACGTGCAGTTTTAATTTTTTTGGATTCGTTTTAGTTGTTAAAATTTGTATAAAAAAAGGAAGTTCGTTGGACAAAACCGCATAAATTAGACATAGATAATTATAAACTGAATATTTGTACTATACTATGTAATGGTTGTTGGGCTTTTTGTTAAAGCTAATAGATAGAAACAATATCAATTCAAACAAACTTGCAAAAGTGGATGCCTTTATGATATTAAGAATGGCGGCAAAGGAGTAGAACAATACGGTTTTATTTACAATATAAAAAAGAAGATGTGGTATGATTGCCAATGATACAACTCTTCACAAGAGACCAAATGACACAGGAATTAACAACTATAGGTCTCCGTACGGTATTGAACAATAAGCAAACCCCATACCCCGTAGTCATTTATAAAAGGCCCCGAAATAACAAATGTAAAACAATTCAAACAAGAAAACTAATGGCCTAATTAATGTACAAACAAATGAACGAAAAACAAATATGTAACACAGCAACAAACGACAACCACTGAAATACAGGCTCCTGGCTAGGGACAGGCACATACAAGTCATTTGGTGTTTTGTGTTGCAGAAACATTAAGCTTTTTAATTACAATATTTTGCTGTTTCTTTTGAAGTTTTTAAAATAAGAATAAAATATCTACTATTTGCCTTAGTTATGCAAATCTTGATAAATTGGTTGTTGGAACAACGATTAATTGAACGGTAATTTAAGTTCATCTTTAAAGTAAACGCATGAGAATATTAATTCGAACGAAGAATGATTTTATATCTATATATATATTTTTAACTTTTAAGGTCCAATTACAGGCGCTTTGACAAATCGTTTTGGGTGCCGACTAGTATGTATAATGGGTGCTCTTGTATCTGCCACTGGATTTGTACTCAGTATTTTGCTAACAGTGTGTATCACTTGTACTGTTCCCTTGGAATTCTTACAGGTAAATGAAAGAAAAAAAGTATTGTATTTACTTCACATGATTGATAGCATCATTTTGTTCTATTTATGAATGTATGGGTTGTGGGATTTGTTTAGTTATGCCGGTCTCCCATGGTGCATATTTGATTGATGATTGATTGATTTGTTTGCCACTTTCAGCACCAAAGTGCTACTAGTATCTCGTGGCGCTCAGTTTTGTATTGGTGGAGGAAGCCAGAGTGCCAGGTGAGAACCACAGACCTTTGGTAGGAAAACTAACAATCCTAATCCATTAAGTTTGGAGTCGAGCGGGATTCACACTCACAACCCCAGTGTTTACAGGATGCGGATACAGTAGTTTTGACTACTTGGATCACTTGGCCCTTGAGACCCCTTCCCATGTAGAAAGACCATATTCTTAAAAGAGTTTTAAACTATTTAATTCCTGATTATGACATTAAATTGGGATGTGTATACCTATTTAGGGAGCATCCATTTAACTTCAAAAGTGGGGATGGGGGTATGGTTTTTTGTCTGAGTCAGATATTTTTTTTCGCGCACATTGTTTTTAAATTGTTCAACGCTATCAATCAAATTATTTTTTCAAAATTTAACACTATAAGGTATGGAGAAAATCTGGATTCAGAATATGTTTTGTTTTGTCATCTGCTTGACCGCAATATTTTTTCCATCAAATTAGGGATCAGAATATCTTTTTAGAAAAAAATTACCCTCGCTCCTCCCTTCCCTTGAAGTTAAATTGTCGTTCACATAGATTTAAGTTAAAACTACTACCTCTTTAAGACCCTGTTCAAATATGCAAGCAATTCTAAAACATCATAATTCACTACACAATACAATGAAGTTAAGACTGAAAGTATTAAAATGAACAACTACGATTTTTTTTAGGTTTTGTTTTCTTATTTCCAGCTTGATAAATGCTTTTTGACCTAAGAAAATTATGCTTCTATGACTGTACGATTTCAATTTAGCGGCATTGATTTTTTTTTAAATTCAAGGCTTATGCCAGAGAGCAACTTGAATGATGAGCCTGTTTATGCTTTACCAAAAAAGCCTATATTATTAGTATGCAGGTATTTTGGAAGTAGTCTCTCCTGGGGGTTGATGGCAAGGGTTATATCTTTATTGTATAAATTACGTTAGTTGTATAATTCATGCTTAAAAATCATTATGTGTTACCGTTCTAAATACTAATAATTTGAAATTGAATATAATGTTTTAATAGAGATAGTTCATTAAAAAATTTAAAAAAAGACTTTTATTTCAATGCTTTAATGTAAGGAGTCAAACAAAATAGAACTGTGTGTTTGAATATAAATCTTTATATACTTGAAGGTTTAGGATTTGGCGGTATTTTTTTTATCAACATTAGTATATGTTGGGCAACATTTTGAAAAGAGACGATCGTTTGCTATGGGTATATCTTTGAGTGGTTCAGGAGTAGGAATATTTATATTCGCTCCAGTTGTTCGTATTCTAATGAAGAGTATGGACGGCGAGGTACTATTTTGATAGAAGCAGGAATCATACTGAACGTTATTGTTTGTGGCGCTTTCTTTCGACCGATGCAGAAACAGAGTGGAAGAACGACTGAAAAATCTGAAACCAAAGAAGAATCAATCGATTTATTACGATGCGACGATAATTTGATATACATAAAAGAAAATTTTACCACAAGTGATAGAAGTTGTACGATTGAGAAAAATGCAAACCAGGACGATGAGTACATGTATTAAAACAAGCAATAACAACACAATCAAAATCTACTAAAGATTCAACTTTGAGTTTCTTTTCTAGACATTTTGATTTTGGGTTATTGACAAATCCAATATTTACCATTTTTGTAGTATCGAATTGCTGCACATGCCTGGGGTTTAATGCATCATATGTGTATTTGCCAGATCGGGCAGAGGAAAAAGGTATGAACCAGTTAGACAGTGCATTTCTGCTTTCCGTTATTGGTATTTCAAATACATTTGGGCGTATTTTATTCGGATGGATTGCAGACCGAAAGGGTGTAAATCGTCTTTTGCTTTACGGTACATCACTGGTCTTTTGTGGCACTGCTAATGTTATGAATCCCCTTAATGATAATATATAAATAACACATAGCTGAGAGGGTGATAGAGCAGATTGTTTACCCGAGAAAACATTGTCAACTGAGGCGAAGCCAAGGTTGGCAATGTCTTTTCGAGGGGTAACAATCTGCTCTATCACCCTCTCAGATATGTGTTATTTAATTTATTATACTGAATGTTCTGTTATTACTGTCGATTAAATTTCAAATTCAAAATAATAAACTATGACGTCTTGTACATAACAACCATCCGTATTTAATAAAGCGCACACTTGATCAAGCGTCTCCGTGAAGGGTACTAGAGTATTTGCCATAGGATAGGGTCGTATTTAATAAAGCGCACACTTGATCAAACGTCTCCGTGAAGGGTAATAGAGTATTCACCATAGAATAGAGTAAATTAACACCCTCGTATAAGCCAATCAAAATATTGCATTTTTACGTGAAGTATAATAATAAAGATTATCTAATGAGTTATGCACCTGTTTACGGAATGTTTATAGGTGAGTACGTTTTCTTCTTATTCAATTTCAAGAATCGTTAGTTGATTGGAGCTTCAAAGGCATAATGTATTTAAATAAACAGTCGTAGACTGTAATAGAAAGTAAAAAAAAAGAATAAAGTATTAGTTCTTACGAAGTCCAAACGTAGGAATGTGTTGATTACTTTCTAAAGGACAAATTCTGTAATATTGTCAATCGTGAAAACCCCATACACACTGTGCTGTTTTTGTTGTTTCGTTTTAACCCACATATAATAATATTAATGAGATAATATTATTCAATAATAAATGAAAAAAACTCACATTCTTCACCTAGATTAATTCTTTTTGTGTTATTTTATTACATTCCGAGGAGTACAAGAACTAGTCAATTTTAGTCAAGGTATTTAGTACCACCATAAAACAGAAAAAAATAATGTCTATAGCAGAACAAGAACAAAACCAAAAGATTTAATGATTGATCACACAAAGGCTGTACTCTCCTCCCTGTTCCTAGTTCTGTTCTGTCTCTTCTTTTAACAATCTGTCCTCTTTTCTTTTTTCTTCATCATATGGATGCTTCATTAGTTTATGAACAGACTACTAGTATGTATTTCCTTATATGTTTCATAATGAATGGTGATGATAAAAATACAAATAAAAAAACTGACGTTTTGTATAATTTAACTGTTAGTCAAAGAATGAATAATTTTAATGTAGGTGTATTTGTTAGTTTGAATGCTGTGATACTGGTTGACCTCCTAGGATTAGAACGTTTAAATAAAGCATTGGGACTGTTAATGATGTTCCAGGGAATTGCAACTTTCAAAGGTCCACCTTTATGTGGTAAGAGTTAACGTAAATGATGATGTGTGATGATGTGAATGGTTGTGCACAATATAAATGTATATGCACTTTAATGTGCTGTATTACACAATTAGAAACCTCTTTGACTCTTTAATAAATTCATATACATTCTTAAAAATTCTTTCATTTTCATCATTAGTTAATGACGAATCACCGGAGGTTAAGATGTTCAAATTTAATAGAGAGTTCTCTGGTAACCAGTTCAGATTATTAGATAGTTTGATTCTTATATTCGCATAATTAGGACATTCAAAAAAGAAGTGAAATGAATCTTCACGCTTAGCACCACAGCTACAAGACGGATCTGAAATTATATTGACTCTGTTAAGATCATAATTCAAAAACAAGACTGAGCATCTAAGTTGAGTCAAAATGATGTTGAATTTACGATAATAATCAGCGACACAATTAAATATTCTGTTGCCGACGTACTTAAATTACCGTCTGAAATAAGTGATCACGATGCTTCTTTAATATTTTTAGAATGTCCGAGATTTGCATCCAAATCATTCAAAAGAGAAATTTGGTTGTACGATAAAGCAGATTTAAAAAAATTTTCTTCCGGACTTGATTCTGTCAGTTGGGATGCACTTTTTTTTTATGTTGAGGATGTCGACGAGTAGCCTAGTCAATTTAGCTCTAAAATCGCCAAACCTGCAACTAATTGCAACACAAGGTTTTTTTAGTGCAAATTATAATATAGACTTGTACTAACAACATACTAAAACTATACATTGATATAATTTGCGGAAAAGGTTATTTTGGGGTGAAATATGTGGTTTTTAGAGAAAAAATGCTGAAAACTGGAAAAGAAGAAAAAATGTTATTTATGGTTACATTTTTAGACCTAAAGCTTGTTGAAGACAGGAAACCTTATCTTAATAGAGTATTATGTAGTCCTCTAGTTATTATTATTCATATTGAAGTAATTTTGAGGTGAAATGAGTGATATTTAGTGAAAAAACGCTGAAAACTGGAAACGTAGAAAATCTCCGTTGTTAATGGTTAATATTTTTGAAATTTGATCTATATAGAAAAAGAACATACTATTTTATGTTTTATTTGTGAAGTCCTTTAGTTATCAATATTAATATTTGGGTAATTTTGGTTTAATATATGTTTTAAGACCGAAAACCCGAAAACTGGAAATGAAGATATCTAGGTTATTGATGGTTAAAACTTTCAAATTGGAATCTTGACAGAAAATAGAGAATACATAGGATCTTTATAGACAGACTATATTATCTTATGTTTATCGCATATGTATTCCTCTTGTTATCGATATCAATAATAATCAATTTGTTGTGTGAAATATTTTGTTTTAGACACTAACTACAAAACAAGAATATATCCATAGTACACGGATGCCCCGCCCGCACTATCATTTTCTATGTTCAGTGGACTGTGAAATTGGGTCAAAACTCTAATTTGGCATTAAAATTAGAAAGATCTTATCATAGGGAACATTTGTACTAAGTTTCAATATGAATGGACTTCAACTTCATCAAAAAATTCCTTGACCAAAACTTTAACAAAAAACTTTAATCTGAAGCAGGACAGACGGACGTACGAACAGACGCACAGACAGAAAAACATAATGCCCCTAAGTGAGGGGCATATAAAATGAAAATTTTAAAATCTTGGTTATTTCTAGTTTGATTTTTAAAAACGAAAAAATGGAGAATGGAAACAGGAAATGTGTCAAAGAGAAAACAAGGCCACTAATGGGTTTTTAACATAGCAAGTAAATCCGGCACACGGAGGTGGGCTACAGCTGACCCCTTAATTATTTTGTACACTAGATCAGCAAAATGGACACCACCCTAAACTCCAGTACATACAAATGAACCAAAATTATCACACAAAAAAACACACACACAAGACAAACAAAGGCTAGAGGTTTCTGACTTGGGATAGGTGCAATAATGTGGCAGGGGTAAAACATGTTGTTTGAGAACTCAACCATCCCCTAGTTTCTCTAGACAATATAGAATAAACAAACACACAGTAAAACTCAGTTTTAAATATATGCATTTCGTGGAAGTTTGAAATTTTATCTTATATTTCGGTTATGTATTTATAGTAATTATACGTGTAGGTATAATAAACAAAAAATTCGTAAGGGTTCCGCGGAACCCAGTGTCTCGCCTACTTTTGCTGTTAATCGCAGGCTCAACAAAAATAAGGAGAAAAATTAATAAAATATATTCCTCTCTATACTATCTTTTGATTGTAAGTAGCTTCTGTCCAAGTTTGGTAAAAATCCAGGATAGTTTATGATTCTAAAAAATGTTTTAAAAACTTAAACTGCAGAATGTATGTAATGTTAACTGGAAGAAAAACTAAGTCCATTTATAAGTAAAATACGGAAAAAATTGAACAAGATTTTAACAAAATTTCCTTCTAGATACTAGCTTTTGATCATGAACAAGCTTCTGTCCATGTTTGGTACAAATCCAAGATAGTTTAAGAAAGTTATTAAAATTTCAAAAACTTTAACCACAGAGTGAATGTAATGTAAACTGGCAGAAAAACTAAGTCCATTTATAAGTAAAATACGGAAAAAATGGATTTTTTTTTTACAAAATTTACTTTTGAATATTATTTTATGATCATAAACAAGTTTCTGTCCAAGTTTGGTAGAAATCTAGGATAGTTTGAGAAAGTTATTAAAATTTCAAAAACTTTAACCACAGAGTGAATATTTGTGGACGCCGCCGACGACGACGACGACGACGACGACGACGGAATGTAGGATCGCTATGTCTCGCTTTTTCGACAAAAGTCGAAGGCTCGACAAAAATGATTGTGTTCAAAAATAACTGTAAATCAGTTTGGTTACTGACTTTGATTTTGTCATGTTAATTGCTGGAAAATTCATTTTTCTAGTGTCCTTGCATCGTCATTGACTGTAGTCCTTTTTGTGTATTTTTTCATTAGCTACTTTTACAATATTTGAATTGCATAAAGTCACAGTTAAACTCAGACGATGTGATTGCAGATTTCTCTTAATGTGTTGCTAATTTTATTTAGCAAGCTCTATCAATATCCACGTTTAATTTCAGATATATAAGCTTTTTAAATTTAGGAACATATACTAGTTCACTGAATTAGCATTAAAAGAGGTTGAAAATGAGATAAGCACTGTTGAATGAATTAATGGGATCACTTCCTGGAGGAAGTGTTAATAGGAACAGCGCCTTGTGTGTGTACCCTATAAACCTGCATGTATGTGGTGGTCTGAAACATCAACCAAATGGTAATGACAAAGAACTAACATGGGTTGTCTGCTATGTGAAAATATTATGGTCAAAGATATACCAGTAAATATACTTACTAGTATATAAAGAAAAAAAATTACCAAGTTCTTTATTTAATATATCTCATTGAATTAATTTAATAAAAGATAATCAGCTTAGGCTAAGAACTGTAAAAAAATGATCATGCATCATTTGTGTATGAATCAAAATTTGTAGTGTCTGTGGGCGACTTTGATGGCCAGAGATAGCGTTTAGATAGTCATGTCTTATCTGAAAGTATGTCTGTTGGTTTTTGTTAATCGTTTGGGTTGCTTTCTCGTTGACTTTAAAAACCTCAAATCTCTCTTTATTCATAAATATACTCTATTACAGATATATCAATGTTAAAGACGCTGTTTTCTGCTTCCGGAATGCTGACCTGTATTCAACTCATTTAAACGAAACTATAAAAATATTTAAAAAAATACACCTCATGCCAAAGAATATAAATGTTTAAGTTTTATGGTCCACTAAACTCTATCAGTGATCTCTTGATAGTAAGTTTGATTGCTTGCCAATGAAACCACCACTTATTATAAAATCTCCCCACTTTAAAAACATAAGAAGATGTTGTATGATTACCAATGAGAAAACTTTCCACAAGAGATATCAATGATGTGGGTGTGGATGTTAACAACTATAGCTCATCGTCAAAATATAAAACAAGTCAAACAAGAAACTCAAAGGCCTGATTAATGTTAAAACAATAAACGGAAAAACAAATATGACAGACAGCAAACAATAACAACCAAGTAATAAAGGGCCACTGACTTGTGATGATCATATTCATAGTGTGCAGGGTTAACCCTGTTTGCGAGCACTCAACCCTCCAATAATCAGGAACAGTTTTTATTTAGGGGCCGACTGAGGACCCCCTCCTGGTGCGGGATTTTCTCGTTGCGTTGAAGACCCATTTGTGGCCTTCAGCTGTTATCTGCTCTTGATCTGGTCGGGTTGTTGTCTCTTTGACATACAGTATTCCCCATTTCCATTCTCAATTTTATTTAAATAGCAAACAACGTAAGAACAAATTGGAAAAACCAGTTGGAAAGGGCTCAACTCAAAAAGATCAGCACGGAGTATATGACCAATTAACAAAAAGACACTGAGTTCTCATAGCTAGTTCAAAGCTTAGTAATTACAGTTGATGAATAAATACTGCTGGCATCGACTAAAATATAAATAAGTACACATCCGATTAGTAACCAAAGTGAAACGTGGATTCAGTGTTACAGTCAAAGCTTTATTTATATGGTGTGTGAGTACTGAGATCGTCGCAAATTACATGAGTAGCTATTTGCTTCGAGGAGCCTGAAATTTTCATTTGTGAAAAAATATTTAACATAAAATCATTTAACACTCATCATTCTTATTTTTTTATGAAACATTGTTGAATTCTAAATCTTAACATGTTTATTTCAGAAGGTAAATGAAAAAAAAATATATTGTTTTCTTTCTTAAGTTGTGGGGAAAAAAATACATTAAAGACTTTGAATCTTGCAATAAAATTTTTTTTATAGAGAACAAAACATGACTTCTGGAACCCCTCCCCCAACAAAAAATTAAATGCCTGTGCCTTTAACACAGGGGCAGAATTCTTCCAAATACCAAGTAAGAATGTGACTAAGTTGGTAACTCTAATTCAGCACAGTTTTTCATTTATAGGTTACTTACCAACACTATTTTGGGGAATTAGATTCTTGGATTGTAAAATAGCAGAACACAATCTCGGTCTATATCCTTATTCAAATATACAAATTTTGAGACAGGAAAGTGATTCATTTGTAATATTATTCTTTTAAATTGAAATAATTATGTATTGTATTGTATTATTTCAACTGTTTTAAAAACTACAGAACATTTTTTGTATAATTTAATTTTTTTCAACTTTGGGAAATAAGGGGAAGCAACTCATATAACCTTACTTTTACTACTAAACATTTTTATAAATTACACCACTTTCCGCAAAATATATTTTTGTATAGTTTTAGTATGTTATTCATAGATAGTAACAGACTTGTTTTTCAGAGAAAAACTTTGTGTTGCAATTAGTTGCAGGTTGTTCACTAAATTGACTAGACTAGAGATGTGCAATACATTTACTCAAAAAATCCTTGACATCGCAAGGCAGAGCATCCCAACTCGACATGTTTATATACGAAACAATGACAGACCATGGTTTGACAACGAGTTAAGGAAAGAAATCCACATAAGAGACCGATTTCGTAAAAAAGCCTTAAAAACTAAAAACGATTCTGACATTAATAAATACAAAAAGCAGAGGATTAAAGTAAATAATTTGAAAAAAGCTGCAAAAGAAAAAATTGAAAGAAGCTTGGATAATATCATCTTAAATAACATGGCTAACCCCAAAACTTATTGGAAGATAATGAAAATGCTTATTAAATCCAATAAGGGTTCTGGTGATTTACCACCACTTAATAATATTATTCACAATGAAAGTATGGAAATTGTAGTGTATGGAGACGACGAGAAATGTAATCTGTTGAATAAATATGTTAGTCTGATTTCTTCCCTAGAGGAGGAAGGTGTTCCCATCCCTGAAGTTGAACCAAGAACCAATATTATTTTAAATTATTTAGTAATTGAAAAATATGAAATAGTTGATATAATTAAAATTTTAAATCCTAATAAGGCATCTGGTCCAGATGTCATAAGTCACAAAATGCTTAAAATGTGTCCTGAAAAAATAGCAATTCCTTTAAAAATAATATTTAATAAATCCCTACAACAATGTAAATATCCCACCAGCTGGAATACTGCAAATGTATTTGCTTTTTTAAAAAAGGGAGATAGTTCGTTACCATCTAACTATAGGCCCATATCGCTTATAAGTTGTGTAGGTAAAATAATGGAGCGAGTTGTTTATAAACATGTCTTCAATCACCTACATAGAAATAAGTTAATATAT